ATGCAAGAGTCGCTACACCGACGCTCGGGGTGTAATCTTAAATAAGCAAGAGTTCCTACGTTATGTATGAATGCAGACAAAGAAGTTAGTCCACAAAACTAGTGTTAAGATAGAAAATTGAAATATAAATATTTTCGCAGGTAAATTAATAGAATAAATAGATATTATGATTTATAGAAAGATAAATATCTTATGCATTCAATAAACCAAATGGGTTGTAGAAAATGCTAAGAAGATTGATAGTTTAGGTTTTATATTTTGGTATGCAAGTAGAAGACGTACAAGAAAAAATGAAGGTGTAATTATAAACAAGAGTTTGAAATATAATATTATAAAAATTAATAAAATTAGAGATAATTATAGCTTCAAAGATTATTTATTGTTCATAATAAGATTTTCAATATTATAAGAGCTTATGTTCTATTAGTAGGTTTTGATATATGTTCAAAAGAAAATTTTTGAAATAACCTAAAAGAATTAATAAAAATGATACATTTTGAAAACAAAAAAATTATTGGAGATTTAAATGGACATATTGGTATAATGATATAATATTTTAGAAGTATTAATCATGGCTATAGTTATTGAGTGACTAATAAAGACGGACGAGTCATACTAGATTTGTTTTAGTTTATAATTTTGTTATTACTATACTTTAATTAAAAAAAAAGAGTATATTATCAATTATAAGATAAATTTAATAAAACATAAATTAATTATTTTCTTACGAGAAAAATATATCGTTGAGATTGTTAAGATTGTAGGTAATTTTAGATGAAAATTTAAATAACCAAAATTGATTATTGATTTTGGATTTTAAGGTGAGAGTTGAAAGAGGAAAAATACAACAAAATATTGCCAAAAAATTATATGGTTGCACTTAAAAGACAAATAGAATTATTTTTATGAGTAAACTTTAATATTTTAAGATTTGGTAAGTTTATGAACAAGTTAATAAATGTAGAATAAAGTAACAAGTTCTATTAAATATGTTACAAAAGATGTGCTTGGAGAATCAAAAGAAAAAAAATCTTATGAATAAAAATAGCTTGTGGAATAATAATGTGCAAGAATAGGTAAAAAATAAGAAGTGTTATTATAAAAACTTGTTTAGATATAAATTTTAGAGAATTAGGAAAAACATAAGTTGGTTTGTAGGAAGACTAAGAGAGTAAATTTGATGCTAAGAATTATGCTTATAGTGATTTTTATAATATATTGGATACTAATGTATGTGTGTAAACAAATCAAACAAAGAAATAAAAAAGAAAAGATTTAGTTCAAGTGTCTTAAGGATAAAGTCAAAAGGTGATTTTCTTAGTTTTAAGATATTCAACATAAATAGATAAGATATTTTAATAAATTTTTCAATGAAAATTATAAAAAAATAATCAAATTTAGCTTAATATCATAAATAAGAACAAAAAAAAATACATTCATATTAGTAAAAGGGAGATTGAGGAGGTTTTAGAAAAACTGAAGTGTGAAAAAACAATAGGACTTAATAATATTCTAATAAAAGTATAAAATTATTTAAAACTGGAATTTCGTGAATTATTAATCTTTTTAATATTATTTAAAACTAAAAAGATGTCAATGAGTGAAGAAAGAGCCTATTGATTCCTATTTTTAAGAATAAATGGGAGCACAAGTGTGTGCAAATTATAAAGGAATTAAGTTAATGAATCATACATTAAAGTTATTGGAGAGAGAAATTAAACATAGGTTACGACGTGGTACAAAAATTTCCCAAAATTAGTTAGGATTCATGTTTAGCAAGTCTAATATGGAAGCTATAGATTAATTGAGATGTTTGATGGAGAAGTATAGAGAGATTAAAGACGACCTACATTATGATTTTTATTGATTCAGAAAAAGCAAATGATAATGTTTCAAGAGAAGTATTTTGGAGAGTTATGGAAAAAAAAAGGTGCTAATATTTCTTATATTCAAGTTATTATAGATATGTATACTCGAGTTGTTAATTGTGTTCGAACATAAGGAGGATTGATCACATATTTTCCTATTTTAGTTGTTTACATCAGAGATCAATTTTAAGCTCATATCCTTTTGCTTATTTATGGATATTCTTACTGGACTTTTATAGGAAGATGTACCTTACTGTATGCTTTCGCTGATAAAAAAAGGGCATTTATGAGTAGAGAGAATTTATGAAAAACTTGAATTATGGAAGTCAACTTTAGAGTCTAAAAGCTTTGATATGAGTAGATCAAAAACTTAATATATTGAATGTGATTTTAATAGTAGTAGACCTAGTGATGAAGTTATAACAATAGGTGATCAAATCATTAAAAAGAGTGAACGTTTTAGATATCGCGAGTTTACTGTTCAAAGTGATGGTGATATAGATGGGAATGTTATTAGTAGAATTCATGTTCGATGGTTAAAGTACAGGAATGCTTCGGACCTATTGTGTGATAGAAAAATTTTGCTTATACTGAAAGGTAAATTTTAAGATGGTGATGAGGCCTGCAATGCTTTATATCACAGAATGTTGGACTATAAAAGAGAAGCATACAATTAATTTAATTGCTGCTGAAATGAGAATGCACAAGTGAAAGAGTGCTTTTACACCTAAAGGTAAAATGCAAAATGAATATATCTATGAATGCGTTGGAGTAGCTCTAGTGGCAGACAAGATTAAACAGAGTCGCTTTAGATGGTTTGGTTACATTAAACGTTGATTATTTGATGACCCGATTGGGGGAGTAGAAGTTTTAAATTTGGCTTGTGTTAAGAAAAGTAGAGGTTGACCTAAAGAGACTAGGGCATGTTGTATAGGAAAGCATCTTAATTTATTAGAATTAAATGAAAATATGACACTAAATAGGACAAAATAGAGAAAAAGGATTCGTGTATCCAACTAAATAGGATAAAATAGAGAAAAAGGATTCATGTAGCCAACCCCAATTAGTGGGATAAAGACTTATTGTTGTTGTTGTCGTCGTCGTCATTAATTTTAAAAAAAAAACACTAAAGGTATCCCCCACCACTTTCACTGCTGCCACTATCAGCCCCTGCCCTCAGCATCACATATGTTGCCTAAAGTTGTAATAATAGGTGATCAAATCATTAAAAAGAGTGAACGTTTTAGATATCTCGAGTTTATTGTTCAAAGTGATGGTGATATAGATGAAAATGTTATTAGTAGAATTCATGTTCGATGGTTGAAGTACAGGAATGCTTCGGGCCTATTGTGTGATAGAAAAATTTCGCTTATACTGAAAGGTAAATTTTAAGATGGCGGTGAGGCCTGCAATGCTTTATACTGCAGAATGTTGGACTGTAAAAGAGAAGCATAAAATTAATTTAATTGCTGCTGAAATGAGAATGCACAAGTGAATGAGTGTTTTTACACTTAAAGATAAAATGCAAAATGTATATATCTATGAATGGGTTGGAGTAGCTCTAGTGGCAGACAAGATTAAAGAGAGTCTTTAGATGGTTCGATTACATTAAATGTTGATCATTTGATGACCCGGTTGGGAGAGTAGAAGTTTTAGATTTGGCTTGTGTTAAGAAAAGTAGGGGTTGACCTAAAGAGACTAGGGCATGTTGTACAGAAAATCATCTTAATTTATAAGAATTAAATGAAAATATGACACTAAATAGGACAAAATGGAGAAAAAGGATTCATCTAGACAACCCCAATTAGTGGGATAAAGGCTTATTGTTGTTGTTGTCGTCGTCATCGTCATTAATTTAAAAAAAAAACCACTAAAGGTAGCCCTCACCACTTTCATTGCTGCCACTATCAGCCCCTGCCCTCAGCATCACATCCGTTGCCTAAATCAACTTATGAAATATTCAATAAAAATCCAAATATCCCATATGCAAAATACCAAATATGGTTTTATTACATAACAAAAAATAAAAATAGAAAGTTATCCCAAAAGGCCCCTAATTAAAAGCTTAGAAAAGACATTTTTCCCTTGAGGAAAACAACCATGAACAAAGTGTATCTCACCCATTTTAACCATTATGACGAAAAACTTATCCCAGGTTGCACAAAGCACATGCCATCTATTATAGGACTATAGTGCCTTAAAAGAAGAGGCACTACAAAAAAAAAAAAAAAAGATCCACAAAATTTCACTTTCACATTCAGTAAAAAGCTTTGTAACACATATAGAAGCACCACAATTTAGAAGAGATTTATTCAGATAATTCCAGAAAACTAGTTGGCCTTCTTGGTATAAAATATAAAAAAATATACTTTACTATACTAGAAAAAGAACATTATATAACAGAATAAACATCTTATTATTTGATGATCAAATGTGCATTGGCTTTTGGAGAAAGAATTTATCATAATAAACACAAAGGATTAATACTCAAAACCCAAGTATATGAAAACAGAGAAACTTTGAAAAATACATATTGCAAATGTAAGCATGCATTTGTGTGTGTATGCAGGTGTGTATAAACACATAGATACACCTTAATAGTGTCGAACTTTGCATATTGATCTATACTTGAAAAATATCCAGATATTATTTCAAAAACTCATACCGCATAAGGCCATTTGGAATACATAGTCCAGAATTCACATATTTTTTTTTAATATTTATAATTAGATAGGCTATTTGGTAAGAGGGAATACCTGAAAAATGACAGAATCTGATAGCATAAATTTAAGGGTTAATCTCATGCATTTACTAAAGTAACAAAATGAACCTAAAATGGATGAGTTTGCTAATCATGACAAAGTGGAATTCATAAACATTGACAATGACACAGTTAACATGTAACAATTTTGATAAATAGATATGTTAAGCTCACTCACTTGTTAAAAGATAACCACAATACAAATGCAAATAAAAAACATAAAATAAAACTGAAGTAGCGAGTAACGAAGAAATGCATTTTTAGTTGATTAGCAACAGTAGAACAACCTCATACAATTATAAAGAATCCTCACAAAAACAGATAAACAATCAATACTTAGAGCACATGCAATTATTGAAGAATCAAAATACCCGTTTTGAGTTGACCCGTTCGACATCACGGGAGAAGGAGGGTGTCTTCCCGGCAGCGGAATCTGCAAAGAATTGCGTGCAAACATCTGAAGATCTGTTACCAAGCCATTCATTCTTCTGATATCTGCAACCTGAAAAATCAAAGAAAACTTCGATCAAGCATCTCCCATAAGAAATACCAGTTAACAAACAGCTTTTAAAAAAAAAGAAAGCCACTACTTAGCGTTGACCGCATGGTGGAATTATGTTCAAACCAGCCTAATTCCCGAGAGGAAACCATTTCATACTAACCTTAGTACCAATACACACCTTCCCTGCACTTCTCAACAAACTCTTTTCCTACGGGTCTCTTCCAGAGTTGATGGAATCACAGAACACACCAAAAAAGTAAAACTCTCTTGCACAAACAAACAACAAACCCTAAGTAATTTCAAACAAGCACGCAGTGTCATAACACTACCACCACAAATAATAGCCAATCCTATCCCATAATCAATATCGCACAACCCTAACAACCATCAAGCTCCAAGAACTAACCCGAAATAAGAAAAACACAAATTATTCTCCATATTACCTCAACGCCATACTTAATCGCGATGCCAGCGAGTGTATCCATCTTAGAAACGCGGTGCTCGATGAAATTTGCACGAACTGGGGTGAACGAAGAGGGAGCTGATACCGATGCAGAAGAAGATATCGGATTAGTCGCGTATCCATTCAACTCCCTAGTGCCAACCATTGCACCATCGATTAACCCATCCGAAAAAAAATGAGTATCCCTCACACCCCTCTCCGTCTGCATATCCGAACAGGATCTGTCTGTAAACCCGTCCCTAGCAGATAAATACACCCCAACAGAACACGAAAAAGTAATAAAAATTCTTCCGATAATCTCTGCACAGCCGAGAAAACCAGTCCCAGACAATCTAGATCTAAACGCGAACTTGTTCGGCAGATCTGCGCGACAAAGAGAAGCTAAACAGTAATCGGAAGAAGAAGGGGGGAAGTAGACATGACACGCGAGCTTCCACGCAGCATTGATTACGGGACTCGGTTCCACGTAGAAATTTGTAAAAGCCGTTAAAGTTAATTATTATTATTTTTTTTTATTTTTAAATTTTATAAATATACCACTTGATTTTTAAATTTTAGTATGTTTAATATTTTAATTATAATTTTTAAATTCACAACACTCCAATTTTTCATCTCAAATATCATTATTATTAATTTTTTAAATATATATATATA